TTGATCAACATGTCTTATATATATATATATATATATATATAAAAGGATTCCTCAAAATAAATTAGTTTAAATTTACTTAATTTAATAACTTAAATTTTATATTAAAAATTTTAATGATCCAATCGATGAATTAAATATTTTAATATGTAGATCAAATATATAAATTTTTTAAAAATTTAAAAATTATTTAATATATCATTCTATTAATTTAAATTGACAGATAATCATAAAAGAATTTTATACATTAATTTGAATTAATAAAATAGAGTATCAAATATTTTTCTAATTTTTTAAAAAATTTATAAATTTAATCTATATATTAAAAATATTTAATTTAATAGTTAGATCCTTAAAATTTTGTGTATAATTTAAGTTATTGAATAAAATAAATCTAACTAAATTTACTTTTTAAATATAATAAGTTGAAAACTAACTGTATGAGTACCTTGATATATGGATATAGTGCGACGTGGATAGTCCATGTCTTCTGGCCTTTGCCAACAGTAGTGGTCATCTGGTGTGCTAGAATCGTTTAGACCACCACCAACCTAATATCAAATATGCACATTATTGCACTCATCATCCAAATTTGTGTGACATGCAATCAAATATGCTTTTAATTTCTTTGTACCCTTGTTTTGATAAAGAAACGCAAATAACATTACATAACATTTGTTGACTTACACCAAATCAAAGAAATAGAGAAATTTAAAGTGGACAAATAAATAAATATATATATATATATATATATTATTTTATTTTACATGCATGTCCTAATTATCAAGAAAATTTTAGATTCATGTAAGAGCCGCATTGAATGGTCAGCGGTTAACTTTTCATTTTATTTTTAATGATTGGTGTCAAAAAAGCATTTCTGTCATTTAAAAAATAAAAAAAATATAAATGATAAAAATAAATAACACTAAATATGAATAAGAGACTTCAAAATAGTTTTGAATAGCTATTTAAAAAGTGTGAAAATTTGAAAGGTGTTTTTAAATTTAAGAGATAAAAGGATTAATAATGTATAAAAATAAATCTATCACTTTAATTAATAATATAGATGCATCAAAACTACGTTGTATTCAAATTGATCTAGATATTTTGAAATAATTGTTTTTTTATATTCATATGTACATGTTAAATTCTACTATAATTATAAATTTAAGTGATTTTATAACTATTGATTATGGATGATTTTGTGATTTTTCTTTTGTTTTTTTTTTGATAATTTAATTAAAAAAATATGTATTCACTAGGTTTTGATAAAGTATAAATTTTTGGGAAAAGATTTTTGAAAGTAAAAGTGCAAAAATAATGAGACATGTGGAGAAGGATCTTATTGTAAAAAAAAGTTTCGTTAATTTATGCCAATGGTTTCATATTGATTTGATTAATATAAGAATCCAGTAAATATATAAATATAAATGTGAATTTTTGCTTTATTTTTATGTCTAAAAGAATGTATAAAGGTACAGTAGTGACTCTAATTACAAAATATTCTAAAACAATTGTAGAATGAAATTGCATCAATAAAACCACAAATCATTACTATTCATTGATAAATTAAATCCCAATAAATTATTCAAATATAAATTAACAAAACTAAAATCAAAGCTTTAGTCTAACTAATTAGTTATTTAGTTATACAATCAAAAGAACACCCATATATATATTACTATCCTTGATTATGGGACTTTATAATTTATCATTGAACCTATCTAGATAGGTATACTATTTAATCACACAATCTTATTTTTTATAATTCACTCCTCATTACATTACTTAGATATTGGTCCACACATTCTTTTTCACACAATTTTGTTTGTTATTACAAACTGTTTTAACTTAACCATTCTCTTTTGAAAATAGGTGTTTTAATTTTCATCATTATTCTACATTTCCTTCAAAAAAATTTAAGATCCTTTATCTTCATTCACAAAATTACAAATATTTACAAAAATAACAACCTTCAAATAGAGAAAAAAATAAAAACAAATACAAATGAGTTATCAAACTCGACCGGTTGAACTGGTTTGACAAAAATCAAATGGTAGAACAGTTCAAATCATTGGATAGATAAAAAATGCTATAAAACAGGTAATTCAGTTGCAGTGGCATGGAGAGGCCTAAGGAACTACGACAGAGTTACTTTATTGAAGAAGCAAACATAAGCATGAAAATACAATAGGAGTTGTACGTTTAAGGAGCTTAAAACTTTAAAAAAGGGCAGAATATACTGGTTAAAAGAAATTATTTTATATAAATCAATCATATAATTTAATTAATAATTCATTAATTTCATCAATAATTCACCAATCCAATATTTTAACCAACTCTTTGATAACATTAATCAATAAATTAAGAATTTAATAAATAAATTTTAAAAAATAGTTAAATTTACGATAAAAACATGTTCTAACGTGTATGGCCCATGGGATTTTACTCTTTTAAAAAGTATGGAATTCTACAATTTATTATTTTCATTCATCTGCATCACCCATGTGGAACTTTAATATATAAAACATGTATTGTAAGACTTAAATGACGTAATCCCTTAAATGTTAATGTGGGACTTAGCATATGAACCTTTTAATTTTAACCTATTTAAACAAGAGTTTATCAACTAATTTATCATATGTTTTAACATTTTTTTAATAGTACTTAATATATTTCACTAAAGTTATAAAAAAAATATTATTTTATTATTATTGATTCAATTACAGTTAAATTATTAAACTTTAAAATATAAAAATCTAATATCCAAATCAAATCATGATTGAATTTTATTAGTTTGATTTGGATTAGACCCAACTATTAAAAAAATCTAAATCAATTTAATTGAATTGGTATGAATTATCGAATTCATTATGTTAATCCAAATTGATCAACATGTCTAATTAATACGAGTTAATTGTAAGACTTTTCACATAATCTAACTACTACAAATGTAAGTTTAAACTTTTAACTATCATTCTCATTTAAAAATAAGTATTTTTTTTCATTATTAATTATATCTTTGTTACCAAAGTCATAAATGCATAGAATAATAAATATTTAGAAAAAACCGACCTTCAGGACCAAGAAAACCACACAAGATATTAACAAAGCATAAATGTCAATTCTTCCCTGATAACAAAACACAAGATATTTGAGGTGTTTTAGAAGTATTGATTTTGAATTGCTTTGCATTTTTTAATGATAATTTAGTTGATAAAAATATGTATTCACTAGACAAAATATGAATTAAAGTGCTATATTGTAGCTGGATTTACTGACGAATTCTACTGTGACGATTTTATGCAGAGTTTCTTTGTATTTTAGAGTATTCTTGTAATTCAAACAGTTTCAGATTTGAAAACATTATATTGTACACATGGTGGATATATATGAATCAAGTTTTATGACTTTACACCTATTTTCCCGACAATAGTTGATGTGGGAACACTATTGTGCATGTTATTACAAATGCAAGTGTTTTTAATTTGATCATTCTCCTTTAAAGATAAGTGTTTTTTCGTGTACAGAGTAATAAATACTTATAAAATATCAACCTTTAAAAAAAAAAAACCAAAAAATACAAAGTACAAATGCGATCCTTCTTCACTAGAAACAAGTCCATTCCCTCTCTACACAAAATGAGAATGGTTTAATAAGTAAATTAATTAATGACTCAGTAAGTTTAAAAAATAACAGCATTTTTTTTTTGTAATTTATTTTTATTCAACTAGTTAGCTGACTTATGCATTTGTATTTGTTTCTACATATGTTATTCCTTTGGTCATTTTAACAAGACTCAAATCCTCAGTCTAAATTATCTGTTTTGTAAGACTCAATAAAAATAATATTATTTTTATTAAAATAATCTAAATTACCTCTTATGCTAATTATTTTTTTGAAATACTCATAATTAAAATTATTTTTATTCAATGAATATTTTTGTATCTTTCAATAATTATTTTTTATAACAGTACTCTTAATTAAACTTATTTTTCATTCAATAAATGGTGAGTAAAAATCTCATTAATATTAAAAATATTTTTTCAAAATATAAATTTAAGACATTAAATATTTACTAAACTATTTAGTTAATACTAATAATTTAGATAATCATATATTGGTAGGGGTTGTGCCTCTACCACAAATTATGATGCAGATCGATTATCTTAGAACAACACCCTTCCTAATTGCAATGAAAATCTTTGGCGTAAGTCCCATCATACACACATATCTTTTACAACTCACACTCTTCACTATATCAATTATAGTTGTACATATGGGACTTTTCAGTTTTCACTGCTTCACTGATATATTAGACAATGCTAACTTTTCACACGATTATATATGACTGTTTTAAATTAATGGTTAATCTTTACAGATATGTACATTTGTTACAAAAGTCATAAGATTCTTTGAATTTTTGCAAAGACCAATAAATATTTAGAAAATGTCAACATTTATAAAAATAAAAAATAAAAAAAACAAAAGAAATTACGTGGATCTTTCTTCCATGATAACATGTCTATATATATATTCTCTCAAACCAGTACTCCAGATAAAATGAGAATGAATGAATAATTTCACTAATTAAACTGATTACTGACTCACCTAGAAGTTTTCATGCATGAAGAACTACCCCTCTCATACTTTTTGAATTTATTTTTTTTAATCAACAAGATATTTTGATTTTTGCATTATGTGTATAAGTTGATGAAGAATAATTGTGCAAAGGGATGCATATGATGAAAATGAAGGAGGTTAGCATATATATGTATACCTGGGCATAAATTTTGTTAATTTTGGTGGCAGAATTGTTGAAGGTCAAGAGCAAGTAATCAGTGCCCCACTTGATGAGTTCTCGAGTGTGTGCATACTCATTAACAGCAACATACTTTTGCTTATATTCAAGCAGACTCCAACTAAGCATTGTGATGGAAAATGCCATGGGAAAGTTGTACTTAGTGTTGTCTCCAGCATCATAGTAACCTCCTACAAGTCCTCCTTTCACATCACTGTCATTTCCATCATTTAACCCTGAGTTCCCTCTCCATGCAATGCCATTGTTTTTGGGCAATCTCCCAGCTTCACCACCACAACCACAACTTAATTACAACTTAATTATATATGTGAGGATCACTCACTTTCTTTTTTATTTAATGATCAAATAAGTCATGTGCTCAGAGGCTAAAAGAAATAAGAATCATTTCATAGAAATATTTATTCTTCAAATTTTCTCTCTTCTTCAATTTTTAAAGATTTTTCTTAACATCTTACCTATCACAATGTAAATTATTTTTTATAAATATAAAACATGATTATTGTATATTCAAAAATATTTATTTATAAAAATTTTAAAATAATATAATTTATATATTTCATGACAAATTAGTTTAAGAATGTGATCAGTGTTTTGATAAGCGAGCTGCGATTTAGTTTGTTTAGGATTGATTTTTATTAAAAAAATCTTAAAAATTAATTAAGAATTATATGACAAAGCTTAAATATGTTTTTAATTCAAATAAAATGAGTGAATTTTGAGTTTAGTCTTTATAAAAAAAGTCATCTTTTCAAAATTTATAAACATTACTTTTTATTTTTGTAAAATGAGCAAATTGTTGTTTTGATTTGTATAAAATATTTTTCTATTTTTGTCTTTTTAAAATTTAAAATTACTATTTTTAATCTTTAACAACATTTTAAAATAAATAAATAATATTTATTTTGAGGTTCTATAAAAAAAAATCAGAAAAATTAAACACTAACATGACATAACTAATAATTGTGAATAACACCTAAGATTGTCACTTAACATTATAATAAATAAAAAGTTGTTAAAAATGATTATATAAAAATAAAAATAATAAAAATAATAATTCCAATAATAGATGAATAAAAAATAAAAAAATTATAGAAACCAAAATCAAAACTTACTATTTTATAAAGACTAAAAACATAATAAAATGCCGTTTAAATTAGTGTAAAAAAATACAATTAAAATTACTATAATATAATGTTTTTGTGAAAATTTAAATTATATTGGAAGAATTAGTTTTTATTGACACATTCTTATCGATATTTTAATTTTCTATCACTCTTCAATTTTCGAACACGAGTAAAAATAGCATTTTATAATTATTTTATTTTATATAACTTAATTCATATAAATTAAATATATTTAATTATACATGTTTTATTATAAATAAAATCTATAATAAACAAATGACATTCTCACAGCTCCTATCTTTATTTTAATTTTCCAAAAATTAAGACACATAAATTAACTTTAACCTATAAATTAAGAATTCAATAATTTTATTTGTTTTCTCTTACATATAAATATATAGCGAAAAGTTTATCAAAAATATAATTTAATTCTTAATCAGCAATTATACTTTGCCTGTTTGTCATATATCAGTGAAAGCAGTCAAATACTGGCGACATACATTTGTGCCAGAAAAAGCCGTCCGTAGAAAATAATATTTTTGAATGAGTCAAAAACTATATCAGTGGACCACTTTTACTAATCCAAATCTAAATAATGACAAAGCTAAAACAACTGATTCATGTAGTGAAAAGACACTTAGAGATTATTTTTAACATTTTTTTTCAAAATTGTATCGATTATTTTTTTTTACTTTTTAGAGAATTTTATTTATTAAAAAAAAAGGATTCTAAACATGCACTTAATCAACAAGTAGTTTAATGAACCTCTAGCTCTTAGAATGAGTTGACGTACAAGTGGAAAGGTTAAACAAAACTGCTTCAGTCCATTAGTAAAACTACAAGGGGTTTCTCCATTTTATCATAAATAAATTATAAACAAAGATACTATATTGAGAAGAATAGCTTTATATGTTGACTTTTATTTTATTTTATTCACTATTTTTTTATCACCTAACTTTTATATATATAGATAACGAATTATTATTTTTATTAATTAACATATGTTAAATAAAAAGTCATATTTCACCATCAAATATAATATACTATTCATAATTTCAACTGCACACGTATGATGATGCATAAAGAAATATGGCTCGTTTTGCTACAAAGAAGTAAATATGCACTAAATATATTATATATATAATGTTATCATTTTCGAAAAATAAAATACAAACATATATAAGGTGTATTTATTATCTTAATTCTGTGCATATTCATTTTTTTAAACATGTTTCTTAAGTCTTATAGTTATTGTGTCTATCAATCATTTAAGATTAGGTTGGCCAGATAAGTTTCTGCGATAGTAAAATAGGGTTAGAAAAAATGAAATAAATCTTTACATAAACTAAAATTAGTTTATACATAAGTTAAAAATAAATATTTAAAAAGTTTAATATGAGAAAATTTTTAAAGTAATTTGGATAAATTTTTCAATAAGTATTTATAGGGGTAAAAATAGAAAGGAAAACTCAAACAAACTTTTCTATAGCAAAATTAGTTTATGCATATAACTAATTTGTGCAAATTTTCTAATATTGATTTGTTCAAAAACTTATTTTAATTTTGGACACATAAGCTATTTTCAGTCAATGAAAAAGTTTAGTTTATTTCTCTTTCTTATTTTTATTTCCTAAAAGTGTTTATGGTAAAATTTATTTAAAAACACCAAAAATAACTTACATATACAAGTTAATTTTATCTTAAAAGAGATGCTATTTCATTTTTTTTTTCTGTTTTTTTCTCTTAAATGATGTTTGGAGGAATTTATCAGAAGAGAGAGTCACATAATATGAGAAGAATATTGCAAAAATGAATATAGGTAGATAGAAATATAAGAGATGATGAGATGTAATACATACATCTTTGAGCATTGAAGAAGAGGAGTGCTTTGTGGATGGCAAGGGTGTAATTATCTGGTAGGGTAGGTGGAGGGTGGTGCTTGGGCAAGGACTTGGTGATGATGATGGGAAGACCAATGACACAAAAAGCCAAGAAAATGGAACCAAAGATCCATTTCAAAGCCTTGTGGCTACACACTATGCACCCAAAGTCCACATACTTTGTCTTCTTACTCTTCTCACTCCTTTCCAGAACCCAGCTTTGTAGGGTTTCATCCAAATGATCTTGCCTTCCAAGCAATGCTGCCCTATCCCACTCTGTGTCCCGGTTGTTGCCCTCGTACCCACAAACCTCTTCACTAGTGCTCATTTCAAAGGACCCTCCCCAATTGTTTCTTGCATGCATGCTTGATATTGTATACGATGATCACAAAAAGAACAAATATAACAATAGAAGAAGGAAATTAAATTACTGACCAAGAAATGGCATGAATGTTGATGTGGGTGGGTGGGTGTGAATTAGGGAATGGGAATTTATATAATACATGAATATGTTTGAGAAGAGAGAGAGAGTTGTGGCTTCGAGAATTGGCTAGAGATATATATATATATATATATATATTCTTTTCATCAATGTAGACACAACATTTTAAGTCATTCTTTACACCAATTTGCTCGTTCTGACTTTTTTGGAATTTAAAGTATTCATTATTTAAGAAAATAATTGAATAAGTAAACGAAGGAGAGAATTCTTATCATATCAATAATGTCATTGCCAAGGTCCAACGTACACGTTCTCCTAGGATGATTAAGAGTTATTTTTCATTAAACTAAAACTCGAATTTTTATTTGGAACATTTTTTAAAGGAAAAATTCGACTTGAAGAAGACTTAAAAATATATGCACAAGACCGGTTTAGTTCAATTTTATTTTACTATATTAATTTTAATATTATATATTATGAAATTATAAAATAAACTAAATATAAAATTTAAATTAAGATATAATTTACGACATTTATTTTATTATAAGTAATATGATGTTATAAAAAATATTAATAAATTTTTAATATTGATGTTCAATAATTAAAAAAAAATATATTTTTTAAAAAATATTATATATAAAATTAAGTTCAACAGTTCAAAATATAACTCAAATTCATTCTAAAATTACATCGAGTTCAATTTCAAAGTATAAATCAATCTTAATTAAGTCGGATATCATAATGGCTTGAACCATACAAATCACTTGCCGCCACAAATATGAATGACCACAAATTAATCTTTATAATTGATAGCAAATTACATTAACTCTTCCTTATATTAATACTTGAAATTGCATCTGCTCGTCTTATTTTTTATAATATTTACAATAACCCTTTTTAAAGTATATGGTATAATAATTTCAAAATAATTAAAAGAAAGTATTATAAAGATTAAAAAAAAAAGATTGGAAGAAATTTATGAAACTTTACGAGAAGTTATTAAAATAATTTACTATTATTTTACTATTATATAAAACAAAGTTGTTATTGCACATGTGTCTTATACTTATTAACATTGTGTTTGATTTGGTTTTAGAAAATTATGGTGAGTTAAATTTACAATAAATTCAACAAATGTAATAATTTATTACTTTCAAAAATTGTAACAATTCTCCACCAATTTAAACACATGTTGATTGTGAATCATTTAAGGATTTAATTTTTAAATTAAATAAATTATTATTGAAGGATCAATTTCAATTTTTGGTTATGACTATATGTGAAGTATTTGAAAAAAAGAAATGAAATGGTATGAAATGTAAAATATGAACAAATAGATGCAGATGCAGTGTCAAATAGTGCAAAATTTGCTCTTGTAGATTAGTTAAATGCTAACAAAACATTGAATGTTGATGAGTATCAAGCAGATTTTGTGCAAGTTATGAAACATTTCTTAAATGTATGTATTCCTTCTCTATTAGGCAAATTGAAATGTAATTTTTTTATTAACAAGGTATCACAGGAATTGGAGCTTATTTAAAAAAATGAAAGATGTGATTTTTTGCAAACAAGAATTGTCTTTATCAAAGACAATATATTACTAAATGAGGGAGAAACAAGTGTTATATTACATATTTTTATTGGTTCTGTGTACAATCATCAATTTCATAATATGATTATTGAATTAGATCGTATATTGATATTAAATTAAATTCATAGTAATGAGAAAAGTATTCCTGAGTGTGATACCATTCTTAATCAAATTAGACAAATTATGAGGTCCTTTTATTGTAGGGAAAAAAAAGTATAACTAACAATTTTATTTTGTTTGATTAAAAAAATATTCATACTAAATAATGCTAATATATATTATAGGAGAAAAATACGTAAAAAAAAAGAAAGAAAAGAAATCCAGATCCTTCATTAATGTATAATATAAGAGAGGAATACACGTAATTAGAAAAGAAGACTAATAACAGGATAAGTTATTTGATATGATATAAACGTAGACAAATAAAATTAAAAAAATGTATTAAATAATTAATGAAGTTGAGATAGTATATATAAAATTATAAGGTTAAATTTGTTATATAATAAAATATTTAAATATTTTGTTATTTTTATAATTTTGATAGATAGAAAAGAATTATATATCATTATTTGTTGTTTAATTGCAACGTTCTGTTGGGGATGACACAAATACACTTATACAACAAAAATAATAATAAAGAGTGAAAATTAAGTATAAAAAAAATATTATTCTCAGACTTATACATTATACATCATTCCCAACTATTGAACAATAATACAAATAAGAAATTATAAAATACATGAAATTGTAACTGTTAATTCTGATACAAATATATAATACTAATAAATTAAAATATAAATATATATGAACAAATTATACCATTAGATTATATATACATATTACCTTCAAACTCGACATGGATAGAGTAAACATGCACACAGTGCATACTCACTATACATTTAAATAAAACACAACTCAACACGTTTTTCCATACAGTTGTATGTAACCCTGGCTACCAAAATGAAATTCTTTATTTTTTACAGTAGTTTGCATGGGTCATAAATGGACGAGGCAACGTCACATAAATTCTTGTCTTATATTTTTTGAAATGGATTTTTTCAACGGAAAGACAATTTTTTATTTTAACTAAGTATTTTATTTTATTAAAAAATAAATTAAGAGATTGTCATAAAATTTATTAACAGTTAACATAATATTTAAAGTTAAAATTTCTAAAATGTCACATTATTTGTATTAATGAAATTACAATAGTAAATAAAATAAATTATAAAATTCACAAAAAAGTTGAAAGGTTATAGACATTAATGAAAATATAATTATTAAAATTAAATAATTTTATAACTTGCTTCATATTATTCCATCTATTATTGTTCTATAATTAAAAGAAGTTCTTGGCATACATGTGCCATTTTCTCCATTCTTTTTTTCCGGCTCAATTATTTTGCCTGAGCTTCGGTCTTTGGGTATAATCAAAATTTCAGTTTCAATCGAGTCTCAGAAATCATGATAAACTTTCATTTTTTTTTTTCAGTATGGTGTTGTATTATTTGATTCTATTTATTTAAATCTGTTTATTTTTTTTAAAGTCTAATTCCTCTTTAAAAAACAATTTTTTATGTGCACTGTTTTTTAGTTTATTTATATCTTCATAAAATATCACTTTTATTTGTATTTTCATTTCCTATTTTCTGTTTCTGTTCCACATCGCTCTTTAAAAAGATTAAATAACTATAATCAAATGATTTTAATTATAGTATTTAATGGAAATGTAATCTAACTTTAAAGTTAAAAAATTATAATATTAATTTTTAAAATATTATTTTTATTTTTTATTTATTTTCTCATTTTTACACGTACCTATATGAGGATAGCTTTTACTTTATTTCTATGATGTCTTCTCTACTCCTTACTTTTTGAACAGATCTTCTAATAATGGTGAGGAGAATGTACTTGTAAAAGATACTTTGATGCTCAAGTAAGCAACTCACTTGATTTTGATAATTGTGAATATATTGTGGATAGTACCTTGTTATAAGATACTATTTATACTAACCATGATGAACTCAAATTCCAATAGGCCTTGATTAGAGGTTAATTAGGTAACACGTCCTTAATCTGGGTTCTATCATGATTAGGCTTAATTACCCTAATTATCTTTATGTAAAATGAGCAACTGCTCAGTATCTCTAGTTGTCGGATGACTTGAATATCCAATCTCATGGTGTAATGGCATATGAGAATGTCGAACGAGCATGAGCATACATGCTCGGGTGCTTTGATGTTCGAGGGTGCCAAACGAGAGCGAACTACACATTTCGATGCATAGGTGATCGAGAGTGTTGAACAAGTATAAAATACATGTTTTAGTGCATAGACGACAAAAGGTGCTGAATAGGTATGAACTACATGTTCAGGTGCATAGGCGGTCAAGGGTGTCAAACAGGTATGAACTACACATTCAGGTGCATAGACGGTCGAATTGCGGTTGCGGTCGCGGTTGCGGTCGCGGTTGCAGTTACTGCGGTTGCGGGTATTGCGAGTATTGCGATGCGGATTGCGGCTGTTGCGGTGTGAAATTATTAATTATGTGCACTAAATATAAAAAAAATTGTTATTATTGATATATGTTTTATTTTTAAAAATTTATACATTTTTATTCCTTTTTTAAAACATTCTATTATTTTAATGAATAATTTAATTTATTTTAAAATTAATTTAAAAGTAAGAGAAACACAATAGTGGTTAGATTAATTCTTACATAATATTTGTCATAATATCTCAAAAGCAAATTGTCTCATTGACACAAATAAAAAACTTAAAGGTACACACATTTAGACAAGTTTTAAATAGACAAGAAAGAAAAAAGGACATGGCTTGACATAAAGTAATATGATTGCCCACAAGTTTCATTGTCATCAATTATCTGAGAAGCAATGCCACCCTTCAGAGATGCATTTCACTACAAGGAAAAAATATGAAATTTTTATTAATATTGTAAAACTATAAAAAGCATGAACTTTTTTTCACAAGTGAAAAATTATAAATATAATAAATTTATAACTCACATGATACTTATTACCACATAGTAGAGTGACGAGGATGATCATAGCCTCCACTCTCGCTTTGGCTATCCCCTTGTGTGGCTCCTTGTCCAAAAACATAATCAAAAAATCCACCACTTTGTTGTTGATAATAAAGATCATTATAATTCATTGATGGTTGGTGGTATGAGGGAACTTGGTCACTTCCATATTGATTGTATGCATTAAAATAAGGATGTTGATAAACTAATGGTGGATAGTACCCTTGACTACTTTCTGAAGAATCATCAATATTGAATTCACTAAAACTTTGTTCAATATGAGAAGATGAAGAATCTTGACATGACACATTTTGTTTATTTTTTCCTCTTCTAACTTGTGAATTGTCTCTTCTATTATCACCTGAAAATGAACGATCAGGAGGAATCATACCTGGCATAGAAGTAGTGAAATCAATTACCAGATTTGTGTCACGCC